CGTCTTGTTTGTAGCCAACCGTGTAATAATCACTAAAATTGCCCTCCAAATATATATCTATCACACCATTACACGGAAGGTAAATGTTTGAACAAATTACGTTCGTGTGTACGCATGAGAGTGTCGTGAACACGTTTTGAGCAAGCCGCTGATGTAATCAGGTAGAATATCTAGCGCACTAAAACCCAGTAAATGATCTATTTTGGAATGTACAATTATTGTACATTGTGGTTATTAGTGTTAGCTTGCCTTGATTGTGAAATTTTGCTTGATTTGCTAATCAGTTGCATTGCTGTACCTTGTCGCTGTTTCATGATCGGTTCTATTGTTATCATTGCTGCCCACACCAGTCGAGTGTTATCACTGAAAAACAAGTTGTCCATTACCAAAAAAAATTAGTTTTAACACTATAATCAAACTTCAACCTGTAAGAAAATTGTGACAAAGTTTTACCGCGCCGTTTTCGACATGGGTCCCATACGACGTACACAACGCATGTAAAATACATTGTTTATTTAACTGCTTGACGACTGTGGCTTTTTCGAGGGGGGGGGGGGGTTAATCACAGTTCACGCTGAACTAAACTCAATCGCACGTGTATGCAGATGATTGTCAGAAGTATATGATTGGCATATCTATTTAAGAAGACTGTGTGATCTATTTTGCAGAAGTTGTGTAATCATTTAGTAGGAAGTACGTGATTTGATTACATACTTTGAGAAAAAAAAGTAGCCGATGTGCGCAAGTCGGTTTATGCTTGCGCCGGCAACCTTGCTAAGTGAAAATAAAACGCTTACGTACGAGTTGTTGACACACTCACAGCAGTACCTCGCAAATTATCAGAAGTGCACGTTATAAACTAGGAGTTATGATTATAGCTTTGGGCAAACCAGAGACAGGCTGATTCACACGATGATGTTACCACTAAAAACGTCAATCACTCGATCATTGAATTATTTACAATGAAACTGCAATCTCTGTAATGACACAGTAACAGGAATTATTTGACGGACTTCTTTAATGTTTTTGGGTTACTGATGCCTATGCATACACAAACTTCAGTGTTTAATACAACGCAGTGAAGAAAACGTACTACTCCATTAGATTGGAATACAACGTAATTGTATTTATTTCTTCAAATACTAAACAAAACATTGCTTTGTGTCTACTACGTCATGAGTGACGTATAGACGTCGCAGCTGGACTAAGTTTAGATAATTAAAAGTAATCTCACTATCACGAATATATCACGTGTCTTCAGGGACATCATGTGTGCGTAATCTAACATCAAGCTGTAATAAGTGTCTCGTGAAATACAGTAGGAAGTCATAGAATATGTAAGATGTTCATCCACACTGTCATCATGGACAGTTGGTGTTCGCGACATTTCTGTTCTGGTTCTAATCGTACTCTGAGAACGTTCGTTTTTTTCTTCAAAACTAGCATGTATTTATAATTAATGCGAGGAGTCGACAGTGTTATATACATCTGCAAGTATTCTGAACCGAGATGCTTTCAAAGACATGTTACTTATTTATGATACAATTCTCCGACCACAGTCAGTATCCAGGACATTTAGGACTCCACTATTTATATAAATGCAGAAAATGTGTAATCACTACAAATTCTTGAAATTTTGCAGAATGAAATGACAATTTAGCACTATTACAGAAAAGTCCTTTGTCAAAAGTGCGTTAGTTTTGATCTTCAATGGAATGTATTCTTGGCAGATGGTGAATTCTTAAATAAATGGCCTTCAATTGAACAAGCGATTAACAGAGAACAAATGAATCAGAGACTTCATAACTTGTTTCAACAACTACAACTATAACCCCTGGTAATCTGCTATATTACCACGAGAACTAAAGTTTTAACTACCAGACCGCCGCCTATCAACCAGCTATCAACTTGGCTTATAACCTATTCTATTGACCAATAGAACACAATTGACCATACATCTATTAACGCTAAACAAATCAGATGCGTAAATCATCGACCATAAATACAATGAGCCAATTAAAAACACACACAAACGGTTATCAGCAAAATATATTAGGAACTATTTATCATATATCTTCAGATGGAAGAAAAAAACTAGAGATTTTTTGTAATATATTATATAAATATCACATATTAATATTAAAGGGGAAGTCAAGCCAAACAACACAATGACCCACCAAGAAAAAGCTCCACAAATGTAGGAGAATGCAATTTACAGTTTTTTAAAATCACTTTTCACTCTCTAGATATTAAACATTTCATTAGTATTATGTAGTCAGCCATCTTGATTCTTCAGCAAAGGATTATGGGTAAAATATGACATCATACAGTCTGTTGTCAGAAATTGAGAAAATGATTTCATCTATAACATGGGAAATAAAGATGCAAATTAGCTCAAATTTTTGTTATGCATATTACTCTTGTATATGATTATAGTAATGTAAATTAGAATGTTACAAATACACATAAAGTGAAGATATTTCCAAAAACGTTAAACAAATAAAAATCGTTATTTTCGTTGTGAAATACAGAATGACACTTTTTTGTCCGTTTTTTATGGTCAACAAGTAATATATCACCTATATAAAATACTCAAATCGGTAAATTGTATACAATATAAGGAAATTTGAGCATTTGGTAGAAAAACATAAAAATAAATATTTTCAGTTCTGTTTCCATGACAACTATTTTATAAGCATGTTTGTCACCAGTACATGTATGCTACCATGTTCTAAACTTTCAGCCAATATGAAGTTCAACTTTTGAAGTTATAGATGAAATCATTTTCTCAATTTCTCTATGATGTCATACTTTACCCACAATCCTTTGCTGAATAATCAAGATGGTGGTCTACATAAATTGATGAAAAATTGAATATCTAGAGAATGAGAAGTGATATAAAAAAACTGTAAATTGCATGTTCTTACATTTGCCGAGCTCTTCCATCGAGGAGTATTATGTTGTTAGCCTTGACTTCCACTTTAAAAAGGATAATATGATTTAAAACAAAGTAAAAATATTGAGCATGACAAGTGTAACAATTTAAACGCAATAGGAGATTTTAGAGCATTTGTTGTAAGAATGGAAAGAAAAACTAGACTTTCATAATTTACTCAATCACATAATATTTAATTTTATTAAAAAAAACATATTAAAAATAAAAAAAGAGAATCTTTATAAATCTAACATGTATAAAGTACTTGGCAGTCAGTGTATGTCGCAATGACCTCTATTGCAAACTTATACAGAATTGATTTGATGGCAAATGTACAATATCTTTTAAGATATATTGATAACAAGTACAGAATCAACAGACTGCTACAATAATGCATGTGACTCACAATTACTCAACGAGTCAAAAGTTAAGTGCTTACTTTATGCCGAAGATTTCGTGATACCCCCCCTCACCCACCAAAGAAAATATGTCATGGGTTGCCCAGCATACATACATGGCACTAAGACTGTACTTATTTAACTAAGTGGAAAAACATAATGGTACATATACGTTATTACACCTAGTTCAATTCATTTAGGCCAGTCTTAATACGAGAAAGTAACACCAACTAACCTAAGAATTTCTCATGACTTTTTTTATTGTCATTCTCGTCATTCCTGCTTTATTTTGTTGATGACCTTTTTACAGGATATATTATGAATTAAATAAATGAATGTTAATAAATACAGGCGATACAAGGATTCAAACTACAGACTCTGAATATGCACATACAATAACCGGTAATTTTACATTTTTCGTCGGACGTCGTGTTAACCGATAGGAAAAGTCGATTAACCATATCTAACTACTGAATTATGTGATACACGTAATTGTCACCCATTTAGTCAACAGATCTTAACACTGCTTGCAGACAAATTACTCGATGAATAATGCAATAGGGCGTTCTAATTCAGTACCCTATTGATGTGTATTTTCGGCGACGAATGCCCAAATTGGTTCTAATTGACGTATCTACCACATTTAATTTCCTGATTGAAATGTCGTTTGCTGTGACGTCATACTTGATTCCGGGTAGGAAAGTGCATTGCCGGGACTGGTTTCCGTGTTATGCATTGAAACACGCACCTACATCAATATCTGCGATGTCCTACAAATTGCAGAACCTGCGTTGTGCCATATCTAGTTTTCAGTCAGTCTTGCCTGTGTTAACGAAAACATCGACAATACGCATACGCGCGTCAGGTAAAAATCAAGTATATATATATATATATATAGACTGATTCACACACGTGTCACGTGCACATTACCATCATTGCATTAATATATGTTAATTAGATTAATTTCATTAAATTAATACTGTATGACGTTAAATTATTCAAATGAGTTTCGTGTTGTTTTTTTCTTGAAGTTAATCAACTGTAATATCATTGATGAAAAAAATAATCGTACTTGATCAATATCTATATTATATATATACTGTATTACTTCAGTTATATGTGTAAAGCGTGACATTAGTGTCACGGCGCTGCTTGTTGGAATTCCGTGTATATAAGTAATGCATTTTACACGCGTTGTATACGTTGCATGGGACCCATATGAAACACGAGGCGAAGCGGTTGCTACGGTGATTCAAATTCAATAGATAAGCATCTAATGATGAATACATCCACAATTTCAATAAGTAACGAACTTAATTTCGTTCTGCTTAACTTCCATCGTCTGCAAGTCAAATATTGATCATCGAAATGTACAAGCAGTAAGTGAATACTAACCACCTTGTTACCGACAACCAGTGTAATTTAGAGATAAAATATTATATGCAAATCAATGACGATCGACGTCATACTGGGTCATGAATATTGATCAACGCATTCATCACAGCGGTAAGCGTTAACGTGTTAAAGAAGATTTGAGAAGCTAGCTGTTTATGCAAATTACTTGTTGTTGTTAATTCCGCCTCTTCGTTCTACTTTGAATCCAATCAATACTACGCCTGTCAAGCTACGCAGCCTCCCACGTCTTCCTATTACTTATAAGTAGCGACCGACTGTGGGGCGGTCTTTTTTTTAACTTCTGTTCATTCCTGCCTAGAGTCTTGACGGAACAGTGCAAACATCATGAACTCACTATGCTGCATCGCTTCGATTATCTGTCTGGTTTTCATAGCACGGCATACCGACGCCATGCCATCGGTAAGTATATGCACATACTTCTAAGACACTCTGTACACATGACTTTATTTTGTATCATTGCAGTGGACGAATTTGCAATTGTTGAAATTGCACGTCACACAACAATATATCATTGTGATCATTGTGAGTCAATATTAACCCAATACAGATATATCTTTCGGTATTCTAACAGTCGGGACATTTTTTGCATGTAGACGATGGTGGTTTTATTATTTCATGTCTATTCCCAGAATTAAATTTCAATTGATAATTGGCGCTAACTTTCCAAAATCACACGGTTTTATTAATATTGCTGATGATTAGGATCAATGGCATCTTAAATTCATCTCTACATGCAGTTATTCGATTTCTTAACTACTAATGACCATCAAATATACACTAGTAGATTGGCAATAGTACTTAAATCCCCGCCATTCATGCAACATTTTCACACGATAACCAAGAAACAAACTGCGTTCATTTTTGTCTACATTCGCCTTGTAATTATAAAAGACGAAACCACTGTGACAGTTCAGCGATCGCGACCTAAAACTAATGCACGCGACCCCCGGGACGCGACCTCGTATAAAACCGTGCTTTAATATGGTACTAGTTCAAAGTAATATACAGTGTAGCACAGAACTAAAAATGGTATATATTCATAATAGCTCATAGCTCCGTCTGCCAATGAGATTCGCGCTTTTGGCGGTCGTTATATTTGCAAAATGACTTCTTATCGGTCAATGACTTCATAAAATGAGCTTCAGCACTTGCGGAGACGTTATGATAAATCTACAACAGGTTACTTCACCGTTGAGGTTTGTCGCCGTTTTTTGTCGGAGGATCACATCTAATTTGTGAACAAAAGTAAGACTTTATACTCAACAAGGTATCTAGTATCTCTTGGGCCGAGGTAATTCTATATGAATACTTGTGACCGAGAGACGACTATGTTGGTCGGTCCGGTCGTAGTCGCCACACTACTGCAAACAAAACGTTTTTGGGTTCTCTGTTGACGGGTCACTTCCACCCGAAACATTTTATCCCTTGAGTTTGTTTTGCTGTGATTGTTTTGAGTGCTATTTATCCCACATTTGTTGGGCATTTTATTGTTGTGATATATGTATTTAACTTTCCGTAATTAGTTAACTTCGATCTACTATCAGAGTGTGAACGTGTTCTGAATCTGTTCACAACACAGCACACGCTTCTGTATTAATCTTTGTAGAGACAGTTATCGCCACAGAAAGAAAACAAAACGTATGTACAAGTATTGATTAAAAATTGATTGATTAATTATTTTGCCCATTTCATGAAATAAACAATAATACTCATTCACAGATTGGTACAAAAATGAACATGAACAATTATAACACAAAACTGCAATACCTGATATAATTACATATCCATTAAAAAAGAACTGTCAATTTTAATTAAATAAAATGATGTGTGCTAAAAGCATCGATTTAATATTGGACTACATTACTCATTGTATCTTAAAAGGGGCAAAAGGTAATTCCACAATGCGGAGGACAAACAATATGGCCCGTGTACAAATGTATTTAAATTATAACTAAATCAAAATATACAATATTTCACGAGCATTAAATTGGTGATTCATAATACACAATGCAACAGGATATTGGTCAAGCTGAATATGCAGTCTCTGACAACATCACTCAATAAACTTCGCGCTGTAATATTTTCATTTTGTTACGTGACATTCTGTTATGATTTTTTTATTGAATAAAAGTTCATAATTATTAAAAGAAAAACAGACAAAGGATTTTTCTCTACATTGTCTCCATGAAAGGCGAATGCAATCAGCATGAAATTTACGTAATTACAAAAACTATATAGTAGAATTTAAATAATACCCCAACCTTCACGAATATATGTAAATTAATAATTACGTAATCAAACTTGATATTCCCACCCGGATATGGAATTAAACTCGGTGCGGTATTAAACACGCGTAGAACCATATCATAACAAACTGTGACACAAAAACCGTAATAATGTAATATAATCATTGTGAATGAGTTAAACAAGGTAATCCTATGATCACAGAGAGAGAAAAAACGGAGAAACAAAGCAAAACAAAGCTAAACATACGATAAATCGTGGAATGAAAATTCAACTTGGTTAACAACGCGCATTACGAATTCGCTGTTTAATGTGTTGTAATGTTTAATGTGCGTCTGATCATTACAATATACTGTAAAACATGTTGAAAAAACGACATGCAATTTTAGCGAATGGTGGTAAAATTACGGAATAGCGAAATGTTGATTTAGCAGCGAATCTCTCTTGTCATTGTTGATTTCTTTGTTTGGCGGCTATTTTGAATTTATAATAAAGTCATTAGCGACATTATGAATTAGCGAATTAGTTCACTCGTTAAATTCGCGAAAAAGACATGTTTTACAATATATATATATATATATATATATATATATATATATATATATATATATATATATATATATATATATATATATATTTGCCCACATGTACAGGAAGGGCGTGTCTCGGTAAATGCGACCTTAATGCAAAGATTTAATTTTTTAAATAAGTAAAAGCAGAGGTACATTACTTGGGGTTTGCAACTCGCATAGTACTGTATGGTGAGATCATGTCAAGATCCCATTCAAGTCTCTTCTCGTAGATAGCGAGACTGAGGCTACGACTTTCTGACATGACGCATATCAATGTTCAAGGTTTGTAATGAAAAAAATAAACTTTTCTTGTCACAATCGTAGTGAAAAATGTAATACATCGAAAATGTACAGAAAATATAGTTCTCGTAATCCGTCATATCGTGGGCAGCTATTGTGATCCACCTGGACATCCCAGTATCCTAGTTACCTCGGGCATGCGCATTCGCATTTTTTCTGAGTGCCACATAGATCCACTAAGTCTGTTACGGACGCTACACGAATTACAAATATAATTTACAGGAATTACAAGCAGCGGAAATATATTCTACATACTACATACATACAGAATTATAACGTCTTTAAAGTAGTAATCAGTTTGAATTTCATGTTGCCAAGCTTACGGATCTTGTTAACAACCTATGTGGTCAGCCAATGGCATATTTAATAACATGCAAAGGTATCCGGAATGCTGAACCCTGAAAAGAAATCTAACTTGTCAATTATGTATCCAAACTTGATAATGTTTTCCTAGTTTGTAACGATGTTATATTAAATCGGGAATAATTTCCAACACTGTCTATTTCACTTTGCTATTCTATGAAATTATACGCACCTAACTTAATTTACTTCGTCTACATAGCTACATAGATTAAAAGTAAAACACGACATGACGCTATGTAACATAGATTTAAACACTCCATGTATTTTCAGAGTGTTTCATCCACCGATCCGTTTTTATTTAAACTGTGATTCAAAATTCCAATTCATGTCGCGGTTTTCCCTGCCACCCAGTTAATTTTAATATACGACGACTGTGAGAAAAAAAAACTGTCACTAAAGGTACATCTTTGTTCACACTGAGAAGCCTCTGACACGCCAGATGTGGCTGTTGCAAATATGGTTGTCAGCTTCTCCTTCTAATTTAATCTTTATCACACCGGGATAATGAAGTGTCGGCCACCTCATGGTGGTTTCAAAAGTGATCTGATTTCCATCGGCGATCAATGGTATCCTTTGTCCTTCACTTAAGACGTTTGTGATTCAATGCTCTTGTTGATTGGCTGACTGCGATTTATTTGCGATGAGATTGATATCATTTGCAAAATGTCACATGCGATATTGAGCTATCTCCTATTAAAATATATTCATCATTAGTCATGTTGAGTCTTTGACATGGTCTTTTTTCAACTTTCGAATTAAATCATGCAGCTATTTTTAGGTTCCCACATCCCACTATATCTTACTGCGAACATCGACTGGTTTAGTAGTACCATGTTTCCGAACTCTGTTGCCCAGTATACGTCCTGTCGAATCCCTCAAGTTAATATAGTTACAACACAGCTCCAAATTGTGTTTCTCTGTAGATTCAAAGGTTACATATCACATCTATTGTGTTTAAACCTGCTAGAAACCAGGCTTTTTTGTTTCGCAATTGTGGATTCGGTACGTGTATTCAGTAGATGTGGATTAGTATTACACTGCAGTTGCTAGAGTCGCTGCTTGTTCCGTCATTCTGACATGTTCACTTGCTCGCTTTATTGTGTAGTGGGATCTTGTTCGGGATGGTCCACTACTGTCAATGTAATTTTTAGAAACACGTTTCGCATATATATTCCTCTAGATGTGATATGATTTCAATTCTTCCAAATTTGCCATAGTTTCTTAATAATATTTCTTCGAGTAGATATGTATCATCATCATCACCAATGTTATGACGAAAATGTGGCCGGTGTTGTAGAAACGAACGTACACACTAGAAAAATTATGTTATGTATTACTGATATTACACTCGTGTCTTTCAACCATTCACAATTGTAGCCTCTGTTATGATATGATATGATACGGGTTTGCTATTGACATCTGAACAGGGTTATATTACACGAGTCGGACGAAACGGGGTCTGATTTTCAAGGTGTGTTACCCGTTCCTTCCTCGGTTATCTCTTCAGTGTTTTTTACTGCTTTACTAATTGTTTATTCATTCACAGGGAATACAAATAGACATAGGGCCGGATGGAAATCAAGAATGTAGATTGCCTATGAGAATTCATGCCCCTCAACACAATGTTAGTTCTGATTGCGAATACGAAATTGCATGTAGACGTGTGTCATTTAAAACTTCAAACATAGTATTAACAATTCCGTACGAATAATCGCCATGTTATATATACAATTCCATATTGGTGCCGGCGCCTATCGGATATTCCATACAGTTTTCAATACAGTGCTGTAGGTCGTTGGCCTTGTATACAATAAAAAAAATGTACACAAACATAACAATGGTCATCTCATCTTAGGCATCATTGAAAATAATATTGTCTTTTAATTTGAAAACATGAAATCTATCTTAAATGAAGATAAG